TGTCTGTTGCCCTCATTAGGTTTCATTACAAAACTGGGTCATGATCATACTGTAGTCTCTGAAAGTGCTCTAGACCTCGCCAGTGGTTTACATGACGTGGCCCTGCGTGTCCAGAGCACCCTGAGCCTGTATCAAAGTTGTACATATTCCCAAGCATTTTTCAAATGAAAAGGCACTCGTGGTCTCCTTGCTCTGTGCACTTTGCTGTTGGTGTGACAAGGCATTTAAAGCTGTTCCTGGCATTTTCTTTTTGTTTGTTTAATTTGTAAGGTGGTGTTAACTAAATGGTTATTGGCTAGAAATCCTGAGTTCTCAACTGTACATATCTATAGTTTGTAAAAAGAACAGAACAACTGGGACAAACTCTTGGTCCATGCTGGGCTGGGGCTGGGGGTGGGGGTGGGGCGAGCCCTTTGGAGGGGCCGGAGCTCAGGGCATGCACTGTGAAGCTGACCTGTTGACACGCAGTGGCCATCCATTTAGCTTCAGGTTGTCTCGTTTTTGTATATAGTGTGACCGTAGCGTCTGCTGCCATTCTTAGCTGTGGAAAAAGGGGGGTCAGCTGGCATGAGAAGTATTTGTTTTTTCTGTTTTTGTTTTGTGTTTTTTTAAGTGCGGTAGTTTTACAAATGTTTGGTTTTGGACAAATGTCGAACTCTTCATTGTCAGCGAAGCGAAGAGCCCCTGGCATCAATGGAAGTTCAAGAACCTTCTGTACCTAAATACTTTGCAATGTTCTGTTATTTTCTTTTGTATGGTTAGAATGCTGAAATGGTTTTGAAGTTAAATAAAACAGTATTACATTTTTAAAACTGCTCTCTCTAACAGTCTACATTTCTGACTCGCATCTGTCTTAGCAGTCAAGCCACCTGCCCATCAGATTGGGTGGTTGGTACCCATGTGCATCAGCTAACTCCCTTCTTGACATGGGGTGGAGATGAAGACGGTGGCTACTGGAAGCTTGCTGATGGAGGGGTATTAAAGGTGAAGTGTAAACTACCAAGTGAGAAGCTGAGGTCTGTTGTTGTGAAGTGCCGTCGAGTTGGTTCCGACCTCCCAGCGACCCTGTACAGGGGCTGAGGTCTAGCTGCCTTTAAAGTTGTGGGAAGGTGGGTGGTTAGATTGGAACAATTCCCCAAGCTATGGGGCCAAATAGAGTCCTAGTGTAGCGCTCTGGGTTAATGCGCTGGACTGCAAAGTCGGTGGTTCAATAGCACCAGCCACTCCTCGCAAAACCCTACACAGGGTCTCTTATGAGTCAGAACCGACACTAACTACAACATGGAGCCAAATGCTCTGCTAAACAGCAAAGACATCCTGAGGGTTGGGTATGCCAAACATTCTGGCATCGTTTTCTTGTGCTTAGCACTTGTTACTTCTGTCTCCTGAGCCTCAAGGTAGGTAGCTGGGGAGAGATAGTACCATGTTTCTTCCTGCCTTCTCCCGCTCCTATAAACCCAACCCCCAGTGACTCCACTTGGCAGCAGCTCTCTGGGCAACCTGAGCTGCAGGGCTGGGTAGGGTAGGGCAGGGCAGGGTCAGCCTGATGGGACCACCTAGGCTTCCCAGCATGAAGATGCTTCAAATGCAACACAGAATGGCCTCCTAGCCACAATTTAAATGCATCCTTTGGAAATGCTGATTGCTGAGTGATGGAAAATGGGAAGGTTTGTTTGGTTTGCAGGCTGGAGGCCCAGCCATCTTTTCTGTCTACAGCAGTGAAGGTGACTGTGTGTAGTAGCTTAGTAGCTGAGTATTGGTTCTACTTAGCATTAATACTTGACCCTTCCATTTCAGGCTCAGGAATGTATAGAAATTCTACTATGCAAGAGAAAGCTACTTGGCATTCCCTCACATCAGAACAAGTGGTCCCAAATCCACTTTTCTATGACTTCTAGCAAGTGACCACCACCCATTAAAAAAGTTATCAATGGTTCAAACCCATCGGCCACTCCTCGGAAACCCTATACAGCATCGCTGAATCAGACTGAACAACAACAGGGTTGAGACTCATCGGCATTTAACAACATAGTTTGAGAAGTTGACTCAGTCCAACCTGGCTTGATTGTCCCTTTCTCTTATTTGCACACAGGGTGGCAGTGAAGGTTAATGCATTGAACTGCAAGGTCGGTTTGCACCACAAGGTTGGTGGCTCAAGCTCACCAGCAGTTCCTTGGAAATCCTATACAGGGTCGCTATGAGTTGGAACCGACTTGATGGCACTTCACAACAACAACAGTGCTCGGCATTCTAGGCTAAACCTGTTGCCTCCCCACTACAGGTTGTTAAGTGCCTTCGAGTCAGTTCATACTCATAGTGACCCTGTATAGGGTATCCGAGGAACAACTGGTGGGTTTGAACCATAGACCTTGTGATTCCAGTCCAAATGGGGCTACAACCACAGGTATCAAATGAGGCTTTCTGCTCCCATAAAGATTTACAGCCTTGAAAATCCTATACAGGTTCCAAGTCTGTTTTCAAGGCTGTAAATCTTTATGGGAGCAGAAAGCCTCATTTTTCTCCCACAGAGTAGCTGGTGGGTTTGAACGACTTACCTTGTGGTTAGCGGTCCAATGCTTAACCTACAGCACTACCAGGGAGCCTTCTCCACAGAAAAGTTAGAATTGCCAACATATTTTGGGGAAACAATTCATTTTTTAACAACTGCTTCCAGCAAGACCATCACAAAGTTTTCTACCCCATCACAAGCTTGTTTCTCTCAGCGAGATGAAACTCTTGTTTCTCTGGGCGGCCACATCGAGCAAGATGTTACCTCCAGGCTTGGCTTGGTTTCTCAGTTCCCAGCAGGTGTTTTGCAATGCCAACCTGTTACTGCTCATTTTATCAAAAAGACAGGACCTGCTTTCCCTGGCAGGCTTTCTCTCTTTTTACCCCTCACCTCACTCTTGAATGAGGCTTTATCCCTTGGGAAGAACAAGGCTGTGATGTAGCAACTGTTCTCTGTCTCGTGTGTGTCTATTCTTGTCACAAATGTATTTGGAGACATGCATACATTCATTTCTTTAAGAAAGTTGCTTACTCAGTCTTCCCAAAAAGTTATCAGTGCTGTGTCTGCTATCTATCTGAGATAATGACATTGATTTCCTTGTTCCACATGAGCACAATGAAGTATTCTGGAACACCCATGTTTTGCAATGTTAGCCATACCTTGTCATGATCCAAAGAGTTGAAACTTTTGCGTAGTCTATAAAGCACAAGCAAAAATCTTTCTGGTATTCTCTGATTTTAGCTAAGACCCATCTAACAACAGCAATGATTTCCCTCGTTCCACATCCTCATCTGAATCCAGCTTGAATCTGAACAGTTCTTGGGACATGTATTGTTGCAGCTATTTTAGAATTATCTCCAGCAAAATTTTACTTGCATGTGATATTAATGATATTGTTTGATGATTTTTGCATCCCATTGGGCCACCTCTCTTTGGAATGGGTACAAATATGGGTCTCTACCAATCATTTGACCAAATTCTTGCAAATTTCTTGGCATAAATGAGTGAATGCCTCCAATGCTTCATCAGTTTGTTGAGAGATTTCAATTTGTATCCCATCAATTCCTGGAGCTTTGTTTCTTGCCAATGGCTTCAGTGCACCATGGACTTCTTCCTTCAGCACTATCGTTGTTCATCATATAGTTGACTCGGTGTATATCTTCCATCTTCTTTTGATACTTTCTGCATCATACAATATTTTGCCCAAGCTGCTGCTGCTGCTAAGTGTCGTTGAGTTGGTTCCGACCCATAGCGATCCAGTATAGGGTTTCCAAGGAGCAGATGGTAAGTTTGAGCCACCGACCTTGTGGGTCAACTTGACATTGCAGTACAGTGCCACACCAAGACTCCATTTTGCCCATAGAAACCTTCAATATTGCAAGTTGAGGTTTGCAATTTTTCTTCAGTTCTTTCAGCTTAAGAAATGCTGAGCATGTTAACATCTTCCCTTTTGGTTTTCTAACTTCAGGTCTTTCTTTGCACATTTCATTATAATACTTCACTTTGAAATTCTCTCTTCAGCTCTTTGACTTCCTCATTTCTTCCATTCCCTTGAGCATGTATATGTTACATGCCATTGAGTCGATTCTGACCCATAGTGATCCTGTATAGGGCTTCCGAGGAGCAGCTGGTGAGCTTGAACCACCGACCTTGCAGTTCAAATGACTTTGCAGTCTGACGCATTAGCCCATAGCTCCACACCAGAATGTATATAGGCTGGAGAGCTAATTTCAGTCTCTTCTGACATCCATTTTGATATTTTCTTTTGTTTCTGTCTTTTTAATGATCTTTTGCTTCCTTCCTATATGATTATTCTTGATTTCATCCTACATCTCTTATGGTTTTCAGTCATTAGTGCCTAGTGCATCAAGTCTATTGTTGAGACAGTCTTTAAATTCAGGTGAGATATGCTTAAGGTCATATTTTCGTTCTCATGGACTTGTTTTAATTTTCTTCAGCTTCAGCCTGAACTTGAACAATGGATAGTCTGTTCCACAGTCTGCCACCGGCCTTGCTTTGGCTGATGATATGTAGCTTTTCCACTGTCTCTTCCCATAGAAGTAGGCAATGTGATTCCTGTGTGTTCCGTCTGGTGATGTCCATGTTTATAGTCACCTTTTAAGTCGTTGAGAAAAAGGTACTTGCAGCGAATTAGTCATTAGTTTTACAACATTTTATCATGTGATCTTCAGCATCATTTCTATCACCAAGGCTTGATTTTCCAACAAATGATCCTTCCTCTTTGTTTACAATCTTTGTATTCCAATCACCAGTAATGATCAATGCATCTTGATTGCAGGTTTGATCAATATCAGACTGGAGAAGTTGGTAGAATTCTTCAATTTCATCACTGGCTTTAGTGGCTGGAGTGCAAATTCGAGTAATAGTGGTGTTAAGTGGTCTTGTAGGCATATGAATATTATCCTATCACAGACTGTTGTACTTCAGGGTAGATCTTCAAATGTTATTTTTTGAAGATGAATGCTATGCCATTCTTACTGAGTTTGTTGTTTCCGAGATAGTAAACTATGTGATAGTTGGATTCAAAATGGCCAATACCAGCCCATTTCAATTCACTAATATCTAGGATATTGGTCTTTATGTGTTCCATTTCATTACTGACAATGACCACTTTTTCCAGATTCATATTTGTACATTCTATGTTCTGACTGCAAAGCCATTTGAGCAGCAAGGTCGGCAGTTCGAGCGCACCAGCTGCTCCTTGCTATAGGTCAGAACCAACTTGATGGCACTTAACAACAACAACAACAACAATGTTCTGATTATTAATGGGTGTTTACAGCTGTTTCTCCTCATTTTGAGTTGTGTGTCATCAGAAAATGAAGATCCCCAAAGGGTTACCCCATTAACATCATATGGTCAACTCTACTTTGAGGAAGCAGCTCTTCTTCCCCACTTGCATTTTGAGTGCCTTCAAATATGAGGGGCTCATCTTCTGATACTTTAGATGACAATATACTGGTGTTGTTAATCATGCTTTCATCTTCTGGCATGATATCTGACAATGTTCCACTGCTATTCATAAGTTTTCAATGGTTAAACGTTCAGAAGTAGCCTGCCTCTCCTTCTTCCTAGTCTGTCTCAGTTTGGAAGCTCCGCTGAAACCTGTCCATCATGGGTGACCCTGCAGGTATTTAAAATACTGTTGGCATAGCTTCCAGCATCACAGAAACATGCAAGACACCAAAGTATGAGTGACGTTCTGACAGATGAGTGATATCTATTTGTTTGTTTTTTTTTTTTCAATTTTTTAAAAAAAGCTTTTATTGTGAATTGAGTGATAGTTTACATGGGTGAATATTGGTTTTGCACTCATCCTATCGTAATTTGTTTCACTGCAATGATTACTATCCCCTCCATGAATCATCATTTAATAGTATTTGTTTCTATTCCCTCTTTTTTGTTTTTGTTTTTAATGTACACAAAAGCATGCAGGAATATATCGTCATTTAAACAACCAAAGGTCACATTCTGCAAGCCAGTGTCCTGGCTGCTAGCACACAGCGTTTCTCTTTCTATGAGTCTAGAGTCCTCAGCTTTTCAATCTCTCTATGCCATCACCTCTGCCTCCATCTCTGGTGTCATTGTTTCTCTGGTTTACTGGCCCTTTTTGTTACACAACTTCTACCTTAACAGTTGTGACAGTTGCAATTAGTCATGATAACAATTACTCACTATTTTAATCAAATGAATCCTATCCCCATCTCCTTTAACCAGACCCATCTAGACAAGAGAAAAACTATTCAGTGGGGATTCTACCCACCCCCCTCTGCACACTCTGAAACTAAACTCCCTCTTGAAAACTTGTAAGCCAGTCACTTTGTGCCTTTATAGTCCCCTCTACCCCCAATTTTAGGTAGCCAATGTCTTAATTTGCCAGTCCCTAACAACCCTGTGTTCAGATCAGATAAGTTTGGTCCTTGATGTGAAGACTCCTTTCCTCTCAGTTTGTATTTTGAGCTACTACATCTATTAAGTATAGGTCAAGTTCCTCAAATTGAGCAATTTACACTTGCTTCCTATGTCAAAATTCTGTATCTTCCTTTCGTCTAGTTCTGATCATCAAGCCATTGAAACTAGATCAAATGGGTACTATGGGCATTCTTGTACATCTCCCCCCACTTCTATCAGCTGGATGCTTCACTCTCAGCTCTAGCCCGCCCTCTGTGGCTAGGTCAGTGTCCATGGGCTCAGAAGTTCCCAAGTCTCCCCAAATTTCAGAACAACCAACTCTTCCTCTTCTCTCTCTCATCTCAAGGTTGACAGAAGTCTATGGAACATGGTCAAATTCATCCCATATCTTCATGACTGACTTTCCTCCACTTCCACTCACATGTAGAACGACGCAGTCACCAGCAAACTTACATCCCTTTGAGTTTCAGTCTTGGAGGGGAGTTTGTCCTGAAGGGACTTGATTGCTCAAAGAATATACAATAGCAAGATTCATCAAACCTTCTAAAGCCAGAGGCAAAGAAAGAATTCTAAGAGTAACTTCTGAGAAACAAAATCTCATTTACAAAAGGGTACCAGTAACACTGAGCTCTGACTTCTTTGCAGAAACCATGCAGGCAAATACATATAAAATCCTGAAAGGTAAGATTTGCCGACTAAAAATCATATATCCAGCAAAACTGTCTCTCAAATACAATACCAACATTAGGATATTTCCAGATAAACAGAAATTAAGGGAATTTATAAAAACCCAGGTCAATCCTACAAGATATATTAAAGGAAGTCATTTGGACAGAGAACCAATGACATCAGAAAATGACCTGAGAGTAAAACACATGACCCAGATAACAATCCAGATAAAGAACTCTCCCCCCCCACCCCACCCCAGAAAACACCACAAATTTATTGCCTTCCAGATCTGAGGTCTAAAGACTGACATAACTCAGCAGGGTTGTGTTTCTTCTGAAAGCTTCAGAGGCGAGTCCACATTCTTATCTGTTTCAGCTTCTAGAGGCAAGCCTATAGACCTCGCGTGATGGGAGTTGAGTGGGGGCCAAGGTGGGGAAGTTGGATGGTGGAACGCTCACAGGAGAAGGTTAGAACTGTAGTACCGGGAGGAGGGCTGAGCTGCCTGGAGCTTTCTGGGCAGGCTCTGCTGAGGCATGTTGTGCTGCGCATCCTGCCCTCCGGCAGCGCCTGAGCTGGGCCTGCTGCAGGAGGGGCAGGATCTGCTGCTGGTGGAGTCTGAGTTTGACGTTAACACAGAAGGGCACAGGACATTTGTTCTGACAGTGTTTGACATGATAACTACACAGGGCCATAAGTTGCTTGCAGATGTGGCAGCCACCTGTGGTCTTCGGCTTGCAGACCTTGGCATGCTGCCACACCTGTTTCTTCTTATAGCAATTCTCCAGTGCGCAGTTGGCATCACGGCACAGAAAGGCATGCACAATGGTCTCAACACAGCACTGTATCCTCAGGAGGCGTGACTCCTGGGGGGTCCTGGGCTGGAGCTCACTCTGGCTACTGCTCTTGTCATCCATCTTGTGGTGGTGTCTCTTGGTGTTGGAGCAGTTGATGCCCAGGTGGAAGTCCTGTGGCCGCTCAGCAGTACCAGACATGCCGCGGGCCTGCTACAGAGCATCGGACAACTCCCAGACAAAGAACTCTTAAAAGTAAAATAAGGCTACAAAACTGAAAACAGAAAATAGAGATGTCAGTCTGTAATTGATAACTTCAAAACAAAAACGGAGAATGAATGGGGTAGTAATAGAATTTCCATATGGAGAGAAAATTAAAGTGATATCAAGAAATTAAGACTGCTTCAAACCTGGGAAGATAAAAGTAAATCTTAGGGTAACCTCAAGATAATTAATAAATCTACTCACCCAAATAAATAAGGATAAAGTAGATTCTATAAACAAAAAAACAAAAATGAAGGAAATTAAAGGACAATCCATAAATAAAAGGAACTCAGAACTGAAAATTAAGTGGAACAAAGAAAGCATGACAAAATGACGGTAGTAAATTCATATCTTTTGTATAACCACACCAAATGTAGTTTTTTTTGTTGTTTTTAAGTGCTGTCAAGTCAGTTCTGACTCATAGTGACCACGTGCAGGATTTCCAAGGCTGTCGATCTTTGCGGGACCAGAAAGCCTCATCTTTCTTCCAAGGAGTGGCTGGTGGGCTCAAATCACTGACCCTGTGGTTTACAGTCCAGTGCTTATTGTACAGAGTTACAGTGCTATCCAAACGCAAATGCTTTAAATGTACCAATCAAGAGATAGAGAGTGGAAGAATGAATAAAAAAACCCATGAACCATCAATATGATCCCTACAAGAAACACACCTTAGAGATAAATACATAAATAGGTTGAAAAGCAAAGGATGGAAAAAAGTATATCAAGCTAGCTAATCAAAAAACAGCAGGAGTGGCAACATTAATTTCTGATAAAATAAACTTTAAATCAAGCTCCATCATAAGAGACAAGGAAGGGAAATGGTTAATTCACCAAGTGGACATAACCATTATAAATATTTACTCAACTAACAACAGAGCTCAAAAACACATAAAACAAACCCTAACAAAATTTCAAGGAGAAAATTTGACAACTCCACAATAGTAGTAAGAGATTTTAACACACCACTTTTGACAATGGTCAGCACAATTAGAATGAAATTCAGCAAAGATACGGAGAATATTAATAACACAATCAACCAACTTGACCTCAAAGACATATACAGAACTTACCATTCAATGACAACACAGTACACATTCTTTTTCAGCACACATGGATTATTTTCCAGAACAGACTATTACAAAACCATGAAGCACCAGCCCATTCCTCCCACAAGCTTCTACTACTCAGTTGGCTGCAATAATCCATCACAATGGCCACACAGAACTCAGAAACCATACTTACAAGGTTTATTTGGGAAGGTAACAGATTATAACTCGGGTCAGAAATTCTCAGGGCACAGTTGTTCCATCAGCTGCTGACAAATGTCCACAGGACTTACTGCTCCGCCATAAACCTCAGTCTGAAAGCTCTTGGCTCTAGCTCAGTAGTGGGTCAGCAAAGCTAGCTTCCCATCCCTCCACCCAGTTAACTGCCTGGAGGCACTCTGCTCTTTATATAAGAAAGCTTCCTGGCCAAAGTCATTCAGTTTTACTTGCTCTGTGGGCTGGGAAGCCCATTGCTCTGGTTCTGCTGCTGCTGCTCCTCTGCCACCCCTCCAGTGTCACAACTTTTTGTCCCTGGGTTTAAGAGGTTCTATGCATAAGGATCTCAGGGTCCAAAGGACATGCTCCCTTCCTGGCTCCTCTTTGATGGAAGTGAGATCTCCCTCCCTGCATCTGAGACGACTCATATAAAACCCAGGCTAGAGTTTCAGGGTTTTACAATTACAGCGAACTCTGTTAATATTCACAGCTGAATCATGTCATCCTCTGAGTATCTTCTTTCCCCTTCTTTAACTCAGACCCAGCAGGGCAGAAATGTTGTTTGGTGGGAGTTACTGACTCTGGTTAGAAGAGATATTAGAGAATACAATACACCACAACCATATTTTTAGGCCACAAAGCATCACTAAATTCCAAACCATTGAAATACTACAAAGCATCTTCTCTGGTCACACACACAACACTTTAAACTAGAAATCATTAACATGAAGAAAAAGGAAAAAAAGAATAAGTCAAATACCTGAAAATGCAATAACACCTTGCTTAAAAACCACTAGATAATAGAAGAAATTTAAAACAATGTTTAAAATTTTTCTAGAATCAAATTAGAATTCAAACACAACCAACTAAAACCTTTGGAACCCAGCAAAAGGAGAAGTTGCTAGCAATCCTGCTCAAACGATTCCAGAAGGAATACTCCACACTTCATTCAAGGAAGCCAGCATAACCATGATAACAAAATCAGGCCAAAAGAAAATTATAGAACAAAATAGGAATAGAGAGGCAATTCCTCAACATAATTAAAGACATATTCCCCAAACCAACACCAACAGTATTTAAAATCGAGAGAGACTGACAGCCTTCCCCTGAGAACGGGAACCATACAAGAATGCCCTTTCTCATCACTGTTATTTAATATTCTACTGGAAGTCCTCTCTAGAGCAATAAGGCAAGAAAAGGAAGTCAAAGACATCCAAATTGGTAATAAAGAAGTCAAACTATCCGTATTTGCAGATGAAATGATTCTAGACATAGAAAATCCCAGAGACTACAAGAAACCTACTGAAACTAATAGAAGATTTAGTGGTGGCTGGGCACAAGAAAAACATACAAAAATCAGTTGGAGTCCTCCACATTAGCAAAGAGAACTCTGACAAGGAAATCAGAAAAACAAGATAATTTTCAATAGTCGCTCCAAAAGAATAAATATGTAGGAATAAACTTAACTAGAGATTGTAAAAGAGTCCTGGTGTGGCGCTGTGGGCTAATGCGTCAGACTGCAAAGCCATTTGAACTGCAAGGTTGGCAGTTCAAGCTCACCAGCTGGTCCTTGAAACTCTATGCAGGGTCACTATGGGTCGGAATCGACTCGACAACACTTAACAACAACAACAACAACAACAACAACAACAACAGGGATGTAAAAGTCTCTTAGAAAGAATACTATGAAACACTACTACAAGAAACAAAGGGACCTACAGAAATGGAAAAACATACCATGCCATGGATAGCAAGACTTAATATTGTGAAAATTTCAATACTACCCAAAGCAAACTATTGATAAAATGCAATTCTGATCTTAATTCCAACAACATTCTTTAATGAGATGGAAAAACTAGTTCACAATTAAATGGAAATGAACGAGTTCTCAGATTAACAAAGCATTGCTGAAGAAGAACAAAGTAGGAGGCCTTACACTTTCCAATCTCAGACTCTACCATACAGTCACGGTAGTCAAAAGAGGAAGTACTGATAAATCACAGACACATACATAGACCAATGGAACAGAATTGAGAACCCAGAAATAAATCCTGTGGACGGTTGATCTTCAACAAAAGTTTGATATCCAGTAAATGAGGAAGAGATAGTCTGTTTAACAAACGGTGCTGACAAAACTGATATTCAGTTTCATAACAATGACACAGGATTCACACTTCACACCATACACAAGCACTAAAACAAGATGAATCAAAGGCCTAAATGTAAACCAAAAACTATAAAGGTCATAGGAGAAAAAACAGGGGCAAACAAAAGGCCCTAATTTCTGACATAAATAGATTACCCAACATAATTTAAAATGCACAAAAAGCAGAAGGTAAACTAGATTGCTGGGACCTCTTAAAACACACACACACTTATGCTCATTAAAAGACTTCTCCAGAAGAGTAAAAATAGAACCACAGACTGGGAACAAGTTTTTGGAACGACATTATCTGACAAGGGTCTAGTCTCTAAAATTTATTGAAAACTCCAACACCTCAATAACAAAAAGACAAACAATCAAATTGTGAAATAGGTTAAGAACATGAACAACACCTCACCAAAGAAGGCATTTATTCAGTCAACGAATGCATGATCAATCGCTATTGTTGTTATTATTAAGTGTTGTCAAGTCAATTCTGACCCATAACAACCCTGTATAGGGTTTCTGAGGAGCCAACTTGAATCGCCAACCTTGCAGTTCAAACCTACATTGCAGTCCAGCGCATTAAACCACAGCACCATGCAAAGATTCCCAATAGCCATTGTTGTTGTTGTCAAGTACCGTGGAGTCGGTTCCGACTCATAGTGACCCTGCACAGGGTTTCCGAGACTGCAAATCTTTATGGGAGCAGAAAGCCTCATTTTTCTCCCACAGAGTAGCTGGTGGGTTTGAACGACTTACCTTGTGGTTAGCGGTCCAATGCTTAACCTACAGCACTACCAAGGAGCCTTCTCCACAGAAAAGTTAGAATT